AGAGACGCATCCTAATAGAGATATGCATCGTGCAGTTCATGATTTATGACCCTATTTTTATAAAGAGCATGATCGACTTAGTCTTGGGAATCTGACTAAAAAAAGACCCTATTTGCTAGTTTTGAAGAAAACTGGACGGGAAGCCTATCTTCGACCCATAGAGGGCGTTTAAGCCGTTCTTGAATGTAAAACCAAAGGAAGATGTAAGCCACAATCACAACTACCTATACATATACATGCTTTTTCAAAAATAAATAAATAAATAAATAACAAGAGAGAGAGTGTATGTGTGAGACTCTAGTTGGCCTACATATAGGTGGTATGATTGCCTTTTTAATTTCTCATTTATAAAATCCTCTCTTCTTTCCTTTCATTTCTACTCAACCCATGCATTCAACAAATATAGAAGTATGTAAAAATGGCAAGTTCCTCAAGTCATCAAATAAGAAATATTTTTGTTTTCAATGGATCTAGTCCTAGAAAAGAAAATGAGTTTTTAGAATCAGCAAATCATCTTGGTCAAGTGCTAGCTGAGAGAAAGATTCATTTAGTGTATGGGGGAGGCAGTCTTGGGTTAATGGAAGGTGTGTCAAAAGGTGCATTTTTAGGAGGTAGTCAAGTTTTGGGGGGCGTCCCCGAAACTTTAGCATAAGGGGATGTCATTGGAAAAATAATTGGAGAGGAACTACAGGTCTCTACAATGTCTGCTTGAATGAATACAATGTTTAACCATGGTGATGCCTTCATTGCCTTACCAGGTGGTCTAGGTACATTGGAAGAGATCTTTCATATTTTCTCTTGGGCCCAATTGCACATTCACCATAAACCCATAGGTCTGTTAAATGTTAATGGTTATTATGATAAGTTATTGTCTTTTCTTGATCATGTTGTGAAATGGGAATTTCTAACATCTTCTGTACGACAAATCATAATCTTTGTTGCTACTATTGAACAATTGATTGACCAATTATAATATTTTATTACTGTAATTGATCTCTCTATGAGTCGCATAAACTGGTCATCTAAGGAACGCTGTAAAAAGCTTATATTAGATTTGAGTCTTTATTTGTGAATCTTTATGTCTTTTACTTTTATTATTGTGTTTTGTTGTTTCTTATATTTATTTAAGTGTGTTTTAGGTTTGTCAGTGTTCGTTATTTCAGGTGATATCTTATATACTCTATCTTTCTATTTTAGAAAATTGAGGACAATGTCTCATTTTGGTTGGGGGCAGAGAGTAGTAGTTAAAAAAAAAAACTAACTGTGTTTTCCATTTTATAAAACATGTGCAAAATTATTGTTACTATGATGACAGAGTAAAGGAGCTCTTTTGTTAAACTAACTCTTGAGACGCATCCTAGTAACTATTCTTATATTATAATACTTCTCGAAATATTTATATTTACAAACTCTCGTATTATTATCACTTAATTCTGCTCATATACTCATTTAACATGTATTCTTAAACCTTCATTTTCACACACACACTTTAACATATGATTGTGGGTTGCATATTGGATTATTATATTATTTATATTCTTTTATTAAAGGTAACAACTAAGGGAAAGGGATAGTATATAATTTTAAAAAAACAAAAAAAAACAAAAAAAACAAGCAAAAAAAATGATGATAATAAAAATATAAATAAGTTTGGTTTCGTAGCCTCCCTAACCTAAGCAATTAAGCTTGAAGGGGTGTTTTAACACCTAACCCTAAAGTCAACTGACAAAGCAACTTGCCTTAGGTAGGGTGTACTAAGAGTGCTAAAACCTTTCTTAGCCACAACCAGTCTCTTACCCATGAATCTCTGACAAAGACCAATACATCCGAGTTTTCTAGTAACCTTCAATTAAATACTAGGTGGTGCCTCCTAAATCAAGCAATCGAACAAAAATCGCTACAAACATTGCGCGTGTGATGTGCGACACATTGGATCTATGTCGAGATTGTCTCTTAAAGATGAACTATGATCACTAGTTGCTAAAACATAATGAGTTGGCCAAGACCCGAGAATATATTTCTTGGTGTGAATCATCTAAAATCATAAAAATTGATATTCATATCTATTATAAAATTATATTTTATCATATCATCTTTAGCTTCCTTTCTTTATGTGAAATATGCCTTTGAATCATGAAACCGAAGGATTGTTCACACGATATGACATTTAATGGTAATTGATATTATTATTTTCCTTACACAATTTACAATGGCCTAAGAAGATTACTATAGTTTTTTTTCCTTTTTTACTTTAATTTGCTCATTAGCTCTTAATTTTTATTTTTAGTAACAATTTATTTTTTAATTTTATCCTTTAATATTTAATTGGTTAGGAATTAGTTTTTATAATTTTTTTTGGTTTACTTTTCATAGAACTATTCTAGTCTCACCACTCAAGTCATAGGTTCATTCGAGTTTACTTCGGTTAGTTTTTTTTTTGTTATTTTTTTCAATTTTATCATTTCATATTAAGATGTTTATTAATTAGGCTTCGTAATTTATTTTGATTTATTTTCTTATTATATTATTCGATCTTATGAGTTGTGTCATATATTCAACTAGCTAACTTGTGTTGATTTGGGATTTTTTTAATATTTTTTAAATCCTTGTCCTTCATTATTTGGTTGGCTAAGGATTGGGCATCATAATTTTTTTGTTTAGTTTGATTTTTTTACCGCGATTGACTTTTTTTTATCACATAATTGAATGAAACAAACTTATTAAACTCAACTAGATTTATAACCTGAGTTGTATTTTTTTCTTTTTAAAAACACAACGACATTACATAAGCTTTTTCTATATATAAAAAATTATTTTAGTATGGCTTGCAGCTTAGTGCGAACCACCAATCTTGTAAAAGCTAATAGAGTTGGAGGTTGCCTTATATGCCTCTAGCTTTAGCACCTCCCTCCTAACTCTCGTCTATAGGTAAAAGTCTTCCCCTATAATCTCTCCTATAAATATGAATATATACATATCTCCATTGATGCCACCATATTATTTGATGGTTTTATTTATATTTACCTAGTATTTTATCTATGTTTTATATATATAATACCTTAATAATCTTTTATGTTTTAAAGACACTTTTGGAAATAAGATTCTAAAAAAAGAGTAAATTGAAGATAAAAATTCAGGCCATATTCCAACTTATATCGAATATTGATAAATTTGACATTTGATCGATGTTTTATGCAGAACCTGAGTTGTAGAGGTTGAAATAAAGTTATTCCAGTGGCATTAGAAAGCTAACATCCATATCTTTTTATACATTTATGGAAAGAAAAATAAAAAATAAAGGGCATGGAAATCGTAGCCTTCAAAGACAAGTCTCATATTTTGCTTATTTTAACTTTCGGTCATTCCGACTTGAATATCTTGAATTAAAGAAGTTTATTTAATGCAAACTCAATTTTTTTAGATTCCTGACTCAAAGACCTATTAACCTATCAAATATCAACAGAAAAGGAGCTCATATGAGAGATATATGATTTATATAAGACAACTTATAAATTCTATAGTAGATAGGTTTTGTGAAGAAACTAGTTTGACTTAAATGAAAATTGTCTACTTTAAAAATGACTATTTTTATTTTTTAGGAGGATACAAACGGATTAGAGGGATGCAGAAATTAGGGTTTCCTATTAAATAAAAAGAAAGAGAGAAAGAAAAAAAGAGAGGAGGCATCCAAAAAAGAAGAAGAAAACTCCACCATTTTCTCCTGTACCTAAAATTAATGATGTTCTTATTTATTCTCTTCATTAGTGTTTTGATACACATGCAAGGCCAAATTCTTTTTCTTGGTTGAAAGGATACAAAAATCTTTAAATGATAAAAACTGTGAGATCTATTCTATCTTTTCCTTTTAGTTTATATAATGAATATAAATGTTTTTCTAAGTTTATTTCCTACGATTGTTTAGTTTGATTGTTAGAACAAACTTTAAATTATTATTCAAACTAATCTATTACTAAATTTGCTATCAAAACCAAAGTTGTGATATTTAAACTTGTGAAGTGACTGAGTTTAATAATTATGGTGGATCTATGTTGTTAATCTTAGAGAAAATATTTAATTAAATTAAACATAGACTACAAACAGTTATATTTTTTAGATTTATTAATCTATCTAGTTCTTAAGGCTGCCATTAAATTAAATTACTAATGCAAATACTATGGTTGTTTAATAGTTGGGGTTAGTTATACTGTAGATCGGTTGACTGACTAATATTAAAAAAAAATTCAAAATATAAATTAATATATCATTTTAATGATTAGTTTTCATTTTCATATGTGAACATTAACTTGAGACCAAGATTTTTTCCTTGGTAATTTTTGAATTTATTTAATTTAACTTGATTATTTTATTGTATTTACCTTAGCATAGCATATATAACTTTAAAACCCCCAACTTCGAATCATCTAATATAAAGATGTGAGTTAGATTTTTCTTACGAGATCAACTCTTTACTTACTCTATATTATTTTATTTATTTAAATTAAAATAATTAATTTATACACCCTGAAGCTTGCACATGCAGGATTGTTGTTTACAGTATTGGGTTTGGAATTTTTCAAGTGTGGTACGGATAAGAATAAAACACGTGGGTCAATTTTTGCAAGTTAGTGATTAGCTATCAGGTGACGTGGGAGATGACTCTAGTGGAGTTGCATGCTTTGTAGCGCACGAGATCTTCATGTGATTCTGTCTTCGCTTTTCTCTTTTCTTTTTATTTATTTAATATAATAGTTATTTCGTTTAATCATGAAGCAGGGGGGGGCTTGCAAGGGTGTCTTGGGTTTTCTCGAAGAAAAATCAAGATCAAGTTTTTTGCCAGTTCATAACTGCAACCATTTCTACATGGATGTTTTTTCAAAATTACTTGTGGGAATAATCATGATGTAGAATCACTCTCCTTTGATGAAGTGTTTTTCTTTTTGGTATTAATGGAAAAAATGAAGACCACCCAAAAAGAGAACTATTAAAAAATTGTTTTATAAATCTTATTCAAAATGAAAATACAGAGGAAAAGGCTCTGGAAAACTGTTTTTACCAATATTGATTAAGAGGGGCAAAAAAACACTTCAATTGCTGGCTTGTCTTTCTCATTGATCTCTTCCCATTCGGTTTGATTCTACTATCTCCCTATCCCTCTTCTTCTTCGTCTTCTTCTTCTCCCTCACCTTCTTTACCGCTTTTGTTTGATCATTATCCATCCATGGAGCTTGAATCTTCCTGGCTCTTGCACGCTCTTTATGCCTTCTGTTTTATCCTTGTCTTCATCATCATCGTTTCTCCTCGTTTTGCTCTCTTTCTCTACTTGCTGCTACTAAAGCTGTGGTGCAACTGTGAGATATGTGATGCTTATCTAAACTTGAGTTGGGCCAAAAGTTTTGATAATCTTTGTGATTGGTATGCTCATCTCTTGAAACATTCTCCGACAAAAACTGTTCCCATACATGTTCTTGGCAACATCATTACAGCTAATCCAGAAAACATTAAGTATATGCTTAAAACGAGATTTGATAATTACCCCAAAGGGAAGCCTTTCTCTTTGATACTGGGCGACTTTTTGGGTCGAGGCATATTCAACGTTGATGGTGACATGTGGAGGTTCCAGAAGAACATGGCGAGTCTAGAGCTCGACAGGCTCTCTATAAGATCAAATGCTTTTGAGATCGTTCGATGTGAGATTGAGAAACGCCTTCTTCCTCTACTAGTCTCCTTCTCGGGCAAAGAAGATGGGATTTTGGACTTGCAAGATGTTTTCCGAAGATTTTCATTCGATAGCATATGCCAATTTTCATTTGGGCTAGACCCCAGGTGCTTGCAGCTGTCTTTACCCATGTCAGAATTCGCCGTTGCTTTTGACCTAGCTTCCAAATTTTCGGCCGAGAGAGCCATGGCTGTCTCCCCCCTTGTGTGGAAGATCAAGCGGAAGTTGAATATCGGTTCTGAGAAGAAAATGAAAGAGGCTATCAAGATCATCGACATTTTAGCACAAGAGGTAATGAGGCAAAAGCGTGTAAAGGGGTTTTCAACTCATAAAGATCTTCTGTCTCGGTTTATGCGCACTGTAGATGATGAAACATACTTGAGAGATATTGTCATAAGTTTCCTTTTAGCGGGCCGTGACACTGTTGCTTCAGCTTTAACCAGCTTCTTCTGGTTACTGGCGAAGCACCCAGAGATCGGTTCAGCAATCCAGGTGGAGGCAGATAGAGTTCTAGGTCCTAATCAGGCGCCCAAAAGTTTTGAGGAAATTCAACAGCTTCACTATTTGCAAGCAGCAGTGCACGAGAGTATGAGACTTTACCCTCCTATCCAATTTGATTCAAAGTTTTGTCAGCAAGATGATGTCTTGCCCGATGGGACTTTTGTGAAGAGAGGAACTCGGGTTACATATCATCCCTACGCAATGGGAAGGATGGAAGAGATATGGGGTCCGGATTGCCTAGAATTCAAGCCAGAGAGGTGGTTAAGAGATGGCGTCTTCTTCTCTGAAAACCCTTACAAGTATCCAGTATTCCAAGGTGGATTTAGGGTGTGTTTGGGTAAGGATATGGCCTTGATGGAGATCAAGAGTGTCTGCCTCTCACTGCTCCAACGTTTCCACTTCAAATTAGTGTTTCCATGCCACAGTACCCCACGATTCTCACCCGGCCTCACCTCTACTTTTATAGATGGGCTCCTGGTTCTGGTACGCGAAAAGGTAACTCAACCCTCCCATCGCAATTATATGGTGCACGTTGATTAGCAACTATCCAAGGGCGCTATTCGCCAATGGGGGTGAAGGCGTGTATTTCATGGGGATGTGACGTGGTATAATGGCCTACATGTGCTCGAGCACCATAACCAGAATGACTGGTTACTGTCGGCAGAAATAAGAATCTATCTCGTTCCAATCAATGGTCAAGCTTGTTTTATTTCCACTGAAGATATGTAAATAATGTAGTGTTGTAAGAAGACGTATACATACTTACACACCTGAAGTACGTAGCTTGATCTGCTTATATTTAGGGCACACAAGAAGCTTAAACCTTCCATTATCTGTAAGATTAAGTATGGACGCATGTAATGTCGATTTCTATCCATTATCACTTGGCTAATTATATTGTATTTCTTAAACTCCTGTGTTAGTGATTCAACGCCTTCGTTTGGGATTAATTCAAGCTAGGGCTCCAGAGTCGATCCCCGCCACATAGAGCATGTAAGCAGCTGCTTTTCCCTTTAATTTCCACCTCTCCTTGTTGGCGTTGGTGTTTATGCGCGCCAAGGCCATCATGCATGTGAGGGGTTGGAGGCTGGTGAAGAGAAGATGGAAAAGATATTAAACCCTCCTTTAATCACTGTTACTTGGTTTAGTTAACTTTGTTTGCACGATGGATTGGAAACCCTATCGAGTGAGTTTACAACTTGAAGCCATAATCATCGAGCAAGGAAGTCTTTTTAATTTTGATCTGGGAATTAATCCACTGCTATATTCTCAATTAAGAGGGTTTTTTTGCGTTCTAACGATATTTTTTAATAAATTTGGATTTTTTATTAATTTTTTTGATATTTCTAAATAATTTTGATATATAAATATATATTAATTATAAATAAAAATAATACTTTAAAAAACAACGGTTTATACAACTTCCAAATTAGGTTACAACTACTTCTGGCCCCTCTATTTTTAACTTCAATAATTTAATAAAATTAAAAATTTATCTCAGCCAGTTAATTTAATAGTCTTCTTCGTGAAGTAAGTCGTTATCACCAATTTTCCTTTTATTTTTGTTAATGTCATCACGCACTCTCACCATGCCCGGCCAGTAGTGACAAATTATATATAATTGGCTTTAAAAGGGGCTTTTTGATAAATTTTAAAACATACGGTGTGTTTCGCGAATAATTTTTAAAATCAATTTTAATTAACTTTAACCCTTCAAAATTCTCAATTAAAGATTTTAATATATTTTCAAGGCTTTTCATCCATATATACTTCTATTAAAATCACACTTAATGTTTTTTAATAAGAAACTATATATATATATATATATATATCATTACATTAACAAATTCTAACGAGAATATTGGTATAGCTAGTAACAACCGTAGACTTCGGATTCACAAGATCATATCTTCCCGTCATTCATCTGCTACTATATTCATGGAGGATTGTGATCTATTGAAGTTGCTACTACTGCAATCATGGATGGATCAGATTCTTGATCTTCATAGGATTGTTTTGTGTAATTTTTTGGAGTTCTTGTTACTGCATTCACGGATGGATCAGTATCTTCACTCTTGAATTCAGTAACCATTACTTGATCTTCCACACGTCTCCTCAATCTGGAAGGTAGGTCATGAACATTTAGATTATGTTGAACCTATCTGAATTTTATTGGTGGCAAAGGTTTGGTAAGTGCATCGGCTAACTAATCTTTGTTGGAGATAAATTAAATCACGAGTTCTTTATTGCAAACTTAGTCGTGGATGAAATGAACATCAATCTGGATGTGTTTGGTTCGTGCATAAAATTTAGGATTAGACATGAGGTAAGTTGCGTCAATATTATCACACCACAAAGTGGGGCTATGCTGCTAGGGCAAACCATGTTCATAGAGTATGGATTTAAACCAGATGAGTTCTCCAGCAGTATTGGCAATTGTTTTGTACTCAGCTTCCATATCATTGCTGCTACTGTAAGTTGTTGTTTGCAACTCTAAGAAATTAAGTTAGAACCCATGTAAATACAACAAGCACCAACTGATTTGTAGTCATCTCTATTTGCGGCCCAGTCAGAATCGGAGAATGCCTGTAAGGTGAAATCAACATTTCTGATGATGAATGATTAGTACTTAAAAGTGCATTTTTATCATGGTTTTATATCATCATTTTGCACTTGAAGTATCAATAACTCCTTAACTAAAGCATGTTTTATAATAACATATCTAATAACATAAGATACCTTTAATTTGAATTAAATGTTCATTTTAAATGCAGGTCTATCACATAAATAAAAAGATTCATTAATGAGTTTAAGAATTGAAATTGAAAGGAAAAAGAGATGGTCAAACTTAGAAAAGAGATGTTGGTGCAGTCCAAACCAGAACATTGTTCGATAATTAGGTCATATCTAGAGCTGTAGATCTTGGATTTAGGTCTATTTTATATGGATGAAAAGGTAAGACATAGGACTATAACTTTCATAGAGCGCATGATTTGGAAAGGCTATTTTCAAGTCCAAATTGTAGCAACAATAAAGAAGTCTAAATTTGTCCTCCAGCCCTTGCATTATTTAGTGTTTGGCCCATATATGAAGTTCTAGAAGTCCAAATGACCTTCATTTTTTTTTTCCTGAAAAGCTAAGATAATTTTCTACAACTTTCATATTCGAGTGGTTCCAATTCTAACGTTATCAATAATGTTTTGAGCAGACAAGAGAGGATAAGGATTGTCACCAAATCAAGAGTTGGCCACCCACTCATCAATTAGTCATCAAATCAATAATTCCCTATTGTGGACTATAACAGGAGGCATTTTCCATGAATTTAGGCATTATGGCTTCCAGATCAAGATCATGTTCTTGCTTTCTCTCTTTATATTTTTGTAATGCTTAAGTTTGCTTTTATTAATATCAAGTTTATGCATTTCAATTCATTTCCTTTACGTAGTTAACTTTTATCTTATTTATGTTCTTATTTTATTTATTTATTTTTCTTTCTTTCATTATGTTTAGCTAAATTTATTATGTCAAGGTGAAAAGGTTACACTAATGGTATAAGAATAAGTATACTGTAAACTTAATATGAACTTTAATGTTTGATACTAACATGTTTTGTATTTGTTATCTTGTTCACTCTTTAATACTTTACTTCTTAAATGACTAATCTAGATTTATGTTGTATAACACTTAGTATAACAAATACTTGGCACTTTTATAGTCCATACTCTATGGTATAACCAACACCTGAGCTATGAAAGGAACTTGATTTGTTGTTAACATAAGTTATAATCATTAATGCTTGACGAGATTTAGAAGTATTAACATTAATCAAATAAGATAACTACTATAATCATATTAACAATTTATAATCTGTTGGAATCTCCTTTGTGTATGGTTTCCGATTGAATAATGAGATTTTATACTGTACTTGTTTGACATACCATTAATGGATCCTCTAACCTTGACATTTATTGTTACCATTGTTTAATCCTAACATTAATCTTCTATCTCAAAATTCTCATCAACTTCTTCTTTTTTACTACTACTACTACTATTACTACTACTACTACTACTACTATTATTATTGTTATTGCTGCTATTATTGTTGTTTTTGTTGTTGTATTATTGTTATCTATAATTTACATAATTAACTTCCTTGTGATTAGACCCCGATCTTGCCGGATTATTTATTACTTTGACACTCCTATACTTGGAAGAAGACATTAATATTTTGGTCGTGTCAATAAGCCATAAATAGATAAGTGAATTGTCAAAAAAAGGGTTACTTCAAAAAAAAAAAATATTCATTATCTCTTCCAACAAAGCCTTAACCACCATAATTTTTTTGTATGAAAATGTGAGCTAAAATATGAAGAAATGAACACTAGAAAAAAATTATTCATTTTTTTCTTCCTTTATCCCATAAAAAAATCCTAATATTCTCTTTCTCTCTCTTATTATAATGGTGTGTCAAATAAGTATAGTATAAACTCTTATTATTCAATTGGAAACCACACACAAAGGAGGTTCTAATCAGATTATATATTGTTAACATGATTACATTAGTCATCTTATTCGATTAATGCTAATACTTGTAAATCTCGTCAAGCATTCATAATTATAACTTATGTTAACAACAAATCAAGTTCTTTTCATAACTCAGGTGTCGGTTAAACCATACAATATGAACTATGAAAGTACCAAACATTTGTTGTACCAAGTATTATATAGCATAAATCAAGATTAGTCATTTAACAAGCAAAGTATTAAAGAGTGAACAAGATAACAAATACAAAACATGTTAGTATCAAACATTAAAGTCCATATCGAGTTTACATTATACTTATTCTTACACCATTAATAAAACTTTTTCACCTTGACATAATAAACTTAGCTAAACATAATGAAAGAAGGAAAAATAAATAAACAAAATAAGAACATAAATAAGATAAGAGTTAACTAAGTAAAGGAAAGGAAAGGAAATGAAAGGCATAAACTTGATATTAATTAAAGCAAAGCATAAACATTACAAAAAATACAAAGAGAGAAAACAAGAGCATGATCTTGATCTGGAAACCAAGATGCCTAAATGCATGGTAAATGCCTCTTTTTATAGGCTAAAATTGGGAACTATTGATTTGATGACTAATTGATGAGTGGGTGACCAACTCTTGATTTGGCGACAATCCTTATCTTCTCTTTTCTGCCCAAAACGTCAAAATTAGAGCCACTTAAAAATAAAAGTTGTAGGAAATTATCTCAACTTTTTTGTGTAAAAAATTCAGGTCATTTGGACTTCTAGAACTCTAGATATGGGTCAAACACTGAACAGTGCTTGGGTTGGAAGACAAATTCGGACCTCTTTGTTGTTGCTATAATTTGGACTTGAAAATGACCTTTTTAAGTCTTGAGCTCCATATAAAAGTTGTAGGCCTATGTCTTAACTTTCCATCTATATAAAGTAGACCTAAATCTGAGATCTACAGCTCTAGATATGACCCAATTACCGAACAGTATTCCGGTTTGGATTGCACTGACATCTCTTTTCTAAGTTTGGCCATCTCTTTGTCCTTTCAATTTCAGTTCTTAAATTCATCAACTAATCCTTTTATTTATGTGATAGGCCTGGATTTAAAATGAACATTTACTACAAATTAAAGGTATCTTATATTATTAGATATATTATTATAAAACATGCTTTAGTTAAGGAGTTATTGATATTTCAAGTGCAAAATGATGACATAAAACCTTGATAAAAAATACACTTTTAAGTACTAATCAGCCTAGCGCACCTTATATCTATCCATGTCAAATATTAGTTGCATGTGAAACAGCACACCAACTATGACAACTCTTTTAGGGGTGTCTTAGCCACACACAACTATCTATTTTCTT